AAGTCAATATGTTTGTATTGAGAGCGGAAATGCAACTTTATCGTGAAAATACTAGTAATTAACATTTCCAAAACAATCAAAATATAGTGAAAAGATAATTTGTTGTCGGATATAGGACTGTTTACCGTTAGCGACATTTCCAGGTTCGAAAGCAAAATAAATAGTATGTTTTTTACGATTATCAAAAATCAAATGATTGGAATGAATTGTGAATACTTAAAACTATTTTGGGCAATTTTAAAAAGTCGATACAGTTAATTGTCACTGAATTCCCAACAACCAGCAACAGCACATCATTTAACCGCTAGATGGTGACAATGTGAGCTTACTTTTCAACAGTATGTTAAGGTAGAAGCCTACACATAATATTTGAGAAAGTTGGTCATAAATCGCATGACAATGTTCATTGGTTTATTATGTAAAATCATGAAGATATTGTCCCATCGCGCCATAACAGAGCATTTTTTTTGTGTTACACGGACGTTTTTTGAGACTCTTGTCCTAATATCTTTCAAAAATAACCATTTTAGAACAATCCCATAGAACACAATTATAAAGAAAAATTGCATTTTTTTATACTTTGTAAAACCTATGTTTTTGAAATAATTCTGGAAAACAAAACGTACCCTATCATTAATAATATACGAGTTTTTCAGCTTATGTCACCAACCTACAATTTGAAATATGGCATAGTATCTTTGCCATGGAAACCTATAATAGTAAAAGTGTTACAATACTGCCAAAATGGCAAACTGTTCACCAAAATACAACCATCATTTTTTCAAAACTAGGCTTGTGTTCCGTACTATTGCAAAATGAATACATTTATGTGTATGCTTCTACTTTAAACGGATCACTGCTGGCTTTGGTAAAAATAGAAGCAATTACACTTAATCCCCTATTGTGTGCTATTAGTATTTGATGTGTTTCCTGTTTATCATAACTCGTAGTCAATGGGAAATTAGGTTTTTTGGGCCAAAAATTAACGAAGAAGTTATAGCAAAATACAATACAATTTTGATCCCATATTTTGCGGATGTACATCACGGTGTTATTCGCGACCTGGTCTCGTTAAGCAATGATACGTGGGTACATATCAATCATCTACAAAGCAAAGCTTTTGTTTTTCAAAATATTCAATGATTTGCAATAAATATGTTACCGTTTCTAGAATGTTGCTGTGTCATTCCCATTAACTATAATAATGATTCTTATCCGTAAGATATTTTACCAGATCTTTCGACATACTTTGATCTGTCGATTGTTGTAATTAAAGGTGTTCACACTTTCTTATCAAATCAAGTTATAAATATAGGGAGCACCGTTCATTAATCGAAAATCAATATTGTATAGAGAGTTCAACACAGTGCTGTAACAATGGACGTATAACAATATGCGTGGGACAAACATACATAGGTCAACGTGTACAGCATTAAAAAAATGAATGTGTTACACAAGAAATTACCACAGAGCATTTACAAGAATTTATTTATAAAGAATATATGAACCTCAAAGTTAAGACCAAGAAGTGATATCAGGTGTTTGCAGAAACGTGCGCATATACAAACAAATACAAGTTTAATTCCATTGATTTGCCTGATTTGTATAAGTCATCTACCATCGAGGCGTATATATTTCATGTATGTAAAACAAATCCGAGCCGTCAGTCAATTCGCTAATCATGCAACACAACTGTATGCCCACGTGTTGCTTAAAATGGCACATACTGTAAAATTAGGTTGGGAACATCGGTTAATTCGTGCGTTGGTATATTATAATAGCGTTCTGGCCTCAGTAAAATCTATAATGTTAGTCTCGCAGTATGTCGAATCTCGCTGTTGAAAAATAAATATTGGTCGATGGACTGTAAATTACATACGTCCGCAAAGACATCCGTTCTGACACGCACTTGAATTTAACTACTTCCTGTTTTTAAACGTGATTGACACAAATGAAACAGGACTACACATGACTTAGCTGTCAATTTCGGTATGTGTCTTTGACTCTTTCATTATTTATTAAAATTATCATTTGTTATCATGTCAAAATACCAGAATAATTGTCTAATTATTTGTGTTATTATTTCATATTAACTGAATGGTATTAGTTTGCCTCAGATTCGTGCATCTATAAAGTCAGTTAACACGCTAGCTGAAACATCACCCATATTCTTTGCTGGAAGTAACACTGCAGGTAAGTGAAAATTACATTTATTGAAAAAAAATGTATGTTATATGCACTAACTGTTTTACGCGTTAGTTTCATACGATCGTGTCACAACTTTTAATCTTTATATCAGAAATTTAGAAAAACAAAACAAACGAATAAAAAATATTTTTGTTTTCATAAAATTTAATGAAAATTCACGATAACCATACAATAAAATTAAAAAGCACATTGATTTTGGAAATCAGATCGATAAAAAACGTGTTTCGTTATTTTCCGGGTCTTTCTATATTGTTTTAGTGGCGATGTATCAAGCAACCATATGGAACGAATATGCCAGCAAACGAACGAAGAGGTTGTCCATGTGAACTCCGTCCTGTGTTTGTAGTCGTGTGTACGTCTGGCAATCTCGAGTTGCAGTGTTGATGTTCGCTTGAAATTAAACTTCAAATATATATTCATGAAAAAAATTAATCGATGTAACAAAACAAAAAATTACCTACTTGCAATATATTCCGTACAATTTGGGAAAACATTTTGTTTAAAAAGCAGACTAGTCTAAATCTTGTACAGTATCACAGGGAGTTGGACAAACTTATGTATTTTAATAAATTATTAAATAATAAATTGTTATATAACTTTTCTTTTACCCCCTCCTGGTCTCCGCCCTTTGTTTATACCACTCTTTCCTTTATCACAACTTAGTTATGCGCTAATGTTATATGCAAATTTTAACGCGCGATGTAACACGCCCTATTATAGTAAAATATCCCAAGGGTTGAAACGCGCCAGGACTGTG